GTCTTATTACAAAAATAAAATCTCTTTTCAACTTTAAAACGAGACAGAGAGAGTTTTAAGTCTTGCTTAAAGTCAAAGTAATGTTGGTACAACCAGACCTTAAAGATTCAACTTTGAATTATTTTACTAATTCAGATTTAAATATGTATAGAAAAAGTAAAAAAATGTTTCAGGTCATACAATTGTACAATCCTATTCATCCTATTCTTAAATGTTGAAAGAATATACTAGTATTTTTACAGATTTTTGTTAGAGCCTAAAAACTCTTTGAAAAACAATTATCCTTCAGCAACCCAGATGGTCTAAGGTCGAAATAGAAATTCAAGGTAGTCTGCGAAGAGTTAAGATACGTAAAATGTCCAGAATATTAGAACATTATTAAAACATTATGTACAAGAATATTAAGAGGCATTAAAAGTTGTTTGCGGAGTCCGTTAGAAAAGGATGAGACATGACAAGTTGTGTCTCTGGCAGGTACAAACCAGAATAATATACGAAGCGTGTTGGCGATCAGGAGGGTGAGGCAAACGTAAAGAGAGAACCCTTCAGCATCTTCCTTCCTTTTGATTTCCTTGTACTGCGGTACGTAGGGTACAACCGCGCCGAAGACCAACGCACAGGATGCGATCCAACCGGCTAGATTCTTCAGGTTCAGCTCGTACGTGTCGTCCATCGTCACGAGCCTTCGTTTCTAACATACCGCGCGCTCCGCCGTTGATCTATCGCATCGAGAAGAAACGTTAATTATACGTGCGAACAATTAACGAGATAATCGTACGTGTGATAATAATTTACGTTTTTAGGTTACAAGCCGGCCATTCATCGTCATGTCGCTGATACGTGCCACATGAGCACGTATCCATATTCAAATGTCAGCTGGACGTTGGTAGGCCGAATTTACTCGCAATATACGTTGGGGTAAATAAATGTCACTGCATTGTATCAAATTTCGTCCCTTGGTACGATGTTTACGCTCGAAACAGCTCGAGACAAAAAGTGTATTTTTATTTGTTTCTATTTTCGTACATTTCCCAACCACATCGACACGCGAGACATTTCGCGAATGACCAATAGAGGTCATCACAAAAGCTCGAAATTTTCAAATTTTTTTACATAATGTGCAAATCCTAAATAAATAATAAAATAAACCAGTGCTATTCCTAAGATTTCTAATTCTGGCATTGGTGTCAGTATTTATGCTTATTTTTCTACCTGTTGAAGAAGGAATGCTGATATATGTCATGTCATTGTTCAAAATTGCAAATCTTGGACAGCATTGAAATAAATAAGTATAAATATCCTAGGCATAATAAGGTGACATCATAATTTAATAAATAAATTTTTTTTATTGAAATATCTATAGTCGATATGAAAGAAAACGTACTTCCCTGGTGAACATTTTTCTCAAATTTTTATACGAATTGGAACATTTTTCGGAAATACTCAGGAATATATTCGGAAAGTTTACATCTTAATTCTCTCAGAATTTTTCATACAAGTGAATTCTGAAATATTCTGAAATTTCTCATCCCATATAATTTAAAAAAAATATTTTTTAATTCTTTGGATTTTATAACATTTTATCAGATATTATACTTACAAAAACTTTAAGGGGATGCTGGAGTGACAAAATTATTATATTACAGTTGTATAAAAATCTTCGAATTGACTGAACGGAATAAAGAATCCTTTTTTACAGGATTAAAGTAGACGCAAAATTAGGAGGTGGTGCAGTGGATTTTATATTAAAATCGAAAAAAAGTTAAAAAATTTTGTAACATTTTTTCGATTTTAGTATAAGGTCCACTGCATCACCTCCTAATTTTGCATCTATTTTAATCCTATAAAAGGATTCTTTATTCCGTTCAGTCATTCGAAGATTTTTATATGATTGTAATGTAATAATTTGATCACTCTCCAGCAGGGCTGTGTAATATTTAAAATATTTCCATTTTAAATATGTATTTAAAATGGAAATAGCATTTTACACTTTCCATTTTAAATGGTTTTTGGAAAACCATTTTCATTTTACATTTGAAATGGAATCTTGTCTATCATTTAACCATTCATAAAATAGGTAAATGGTTTTTCTATGTTTTCACAAATTTTCCCTAGAATCATTGACGTATAAAAAGAACTAAGTCCCATGATTAACCGAAGATTTTTATGAATATTCAAATAAACTGCAAATTAAACTGTAAAGAGAAAATTAATTCCAAATAGTCCATAAATATTGATTAAATATCTCTTAATAAAAAATGAATGTTCCTGCATTATGTAAAATACTATATACATTTCTAAAAATGTATATTATTCTTAACATCTAATTTTGACCATAACCGGCGCTTTTCATATTAATTTGATTTATTCAAGTAAATGGTCCCGTTTCCAAATTATAATATTAAAAAATTTAAAA